TCATGCAGAACTTAAGTGAAAAGTAATAAAAGTTACAACTTAACACCAATAACATTAATTTAGTCAATAAAATGTTTGTGTTTCTGACTTCAACCAAGGCTTAACTAGAATAGCACAATAATTAAATCAGTCTAGAATTCATTAATAACTGAATCTTTAATCCCTTTTTTTAGGTTACTTTTAAATGCTAGCTATACTTTAATTGTCTATTATGTTCTTTGGGATTCCTCCTGGGATTTTTATTTGTTTTAGTCTATTTTGCTGTAGAGCACTTTGTGACCAAATGTGTTTTATAATTAAAACACTGTGAGACTGTAGCGAGAGATCAATAAACAAATGCACAAATGCTAATTTTCTTTTGCATTATTTGCACATTTTTTAATATATGCTCATCATGACAACATGACATGATGTTGTATGCACATTATGAAACTGCTGAAATAAAAATGTGATCCGGCTGAAAGAGTTCTTTGCTCCGTCCTCTCTCGTGCCTGCTTCTTATGTCAAAAGCAGATGAAACATGACTCCCTGAGTGATTCAGCAGCATGTATGCTAAATGCTGGGGGATGAAAATCTAACCTGTACACATTTAAGCTTCCAGTCCATATCAAGTCACCTTGAGTCATGTAGCTTATTTCCCGTTTTGCAAAAACAAGCAGGTGGATTAGCGTCATTAGTCATGTTCCTTGAACTGATCAAAATAAACAGTGACATGCATGGCATGATGAAAAAGGTTAAAGCAGATCTTGCAAAATCAAGAATGAAAAAAAAATTCAAATAGACGGCAGTCTTCTTTCCATTGCATCATCATGAAGAATAGCAGTAATAGTGTTGTATTCCACTTGTGGTCTTTTTATTGGTGTTTAGTCATTACATTAAATTCAGCCACAATACAGTGCCATCAAACTAATGACCAACAACTTCAAAAACAAACCAAAAAAGTCCCTCATACATGAACCAATATTTACTCATGCAAGGTGCCTTTGCTAAAATTAAATTAAATACCAAAACCTCTCTGGAATGTTACATATAATGACCATTTTCACTGCTTTAGATACTGTGACCAAGATAGCAACAAGGTTTTGGGGGGGGGGGGTTTGACAGATTTCAGTAATTATGTTTTAATGATTGTGATAACTCACACATACAAATACACTGTTATTCTAACATGTATTCTTTTTTCTACACAGTTTATAGAAAGGAGAAAATTCCCATCCACATTTCCCTGTCACTACTACTTTGAACCAACTTCTTTGTTGGTAATGAATAAGTGACTGTGGGCACAGCTTCAGTGTTCACCTAATGACACACTCACACTAACCGGGTATCTTCAGATATTTACCACCCCAGACTACATCGCCACTAATACTTTCAAACTAAAAACTAGAGTAAAATGTGGATATTATATTAAAAACCTAATTAACCACCTACATGACCGAATTTATGGAGCCAGAAAATGATTAAGGGCCAAACATTTTGTAAGTGTTAGTAGTGTTTCTATTAAGATGATGATGGTTTCTCTTCTCTAATTGTCTTTTTTTTTTTTTTTTTTTATCTTTTTCAGCAATCTGTGTTGATGGGAAGACATTTCAAAGTAGGGCATTTGCAGGGCAAGTTCTCGCATTACTATTTGTTGGAGCAAGTAATGCTGAACATTCATTTAGCAGTTCTACAAATCAGTTAGCTACTTTGTCAAGCAAACTATCGCAAATGTAACTGCATGGTTCTTTTATTGTGGCCAAAGGAAATCCCCAACACATTCACGATGTAGGCTTTGTAAGAGTGTATGTTAAGGTCACCTAGCAAGCTGGCACAGAGGGCAGTCATTGCACTGTGGAAACATTCACATTATTTTACAACCAAGCAGCTCCACTTCAAATCTGAGGAAGTTTGTGCACATTAAGAGCAGATACACAGCATGGGCGTTGAAGAGGAGAATGATGCTGGTACCACAGCTATCTTTTAGATGTTTAAAGATGTCGCTCAGGGGAAAAACACGTTTTGCTCATTTTTTTTATGTGGTGGAAGAAATTCTACTAGCGTGTATGCAATGAGGTCAGTGTGCTCAGAGGTAAATGTAGCTACAGCTGGCTACACAGGAAAAAAAATAACCAACATGTACAAGCTAAACTGATTTTCTCTAATACCTACCTCTCACTGTAGGTGACATTGTAATATAAAACATTATTTCTAAATGCTCCAATTATCAAGTGACTATTAAAAGTAACTTTAGCCAACTTTGGGAGTGTGACTAGTCTCTAGTCTGCTGTAATAGTGGGAGAGAAATGCACTACTCGCGATATGACATGAACTGCTGATAAAGAAAATGCATTCTTAACCTGCTGTGGGCCTGCAGGCCTCACTTTGACAGCCCGGGGAAAAACATCTACTGTTGTCTTCTGTTACTCACATTGCCAACTCTTTGCTTGGGTCGTGAACTCTTAACAATGACAGAGGAGAGTCAGACACCTGGGAATTGTGCTTACATGACATTTAACCCAAGTTTCACAGGAATGACTCTTTTAGTTGTTTTTGACTCATTTATCCCCCACACTTTAAATCTACGTAATCACGTATATGTGAGCATTCAGATGTTATTCTGCGTTTTGCATCATTTGGTTTTGTACGTAAATGAGACAAAAAGTGGGTTAAAACTGTGGAGTATTTCAGACATCAGGGATCAGGTAAAATAGAGCACTGGGGCTGCGCAACCCTTTGTGTTGGGGGAACTTTTGATTCAGTTAAACTGCTAAAACAAGAACCTTTCACACCCAAACAATGGACTCCCTTCTTAAACGTAACACTTGACAAATGAGGAGCAAATTGTACATCTGTGTGTGTGTGTGTGTGTGTGTGTGTGTGTGTGTGTGTGTGTGTGTGTGTGTGTGTGTGTGTGTACAAGAGCGCACATGTGTGCATGTGACCCCCCACCACCACCACCATGTCTAACAATCACCCTGACACATACCACCCTTTCTCTCCTCGAATAAAAACAGAGTAAAAGGAAAAGAGAAATCATCCACTGTTGAAGTACTTTACGAGATCCTCCTCCAAACAGAAAAAGGACTGAGTATCCATGGGAATCTTAGCACGTTAGGGAGGCCTTTTTCCCTTCCTCTCATCCGCTCTCCCCCGCTGCACCCATGGACCAATGCAATTGTTTATTTTCTCCTATTGAGGCTGCTCCATTCACTGGCTCTCACATTTACTCTGCTCAATTGGAGTGAGACAGCACTTATTCGAGGAGAGGAATGTAGCGTTCCACTGACAGAGCAGCAAGAATGCAGGAGAAATAATTAAAACTTTTCCATGGAAAAGGTACAGCTGAGTGTGAGGGAGAACAACGTCGAACCAAACAATGAGCACTGACAGGATTTTCTGCCGTGATGAGTATATCCACACATCACCTTGACACTACAAAGTGAAGGAGTGTTTGAATAACGTACAATGCTAGAAAGTGGAGCAGGGATCCCATAAGAAGGTCATTCACTCACTGCGCTTTCTTAACTGAAACTCTCCGCAGAACAATAACACATTCTCCAGGCTCCTATAAGATGTGGCCAGCCTCACTTTTTCTGGCTCTAACACAACAGCAACGAGCCAGACCAGGGACTTCGTTTCACCTTTGGTCTGCCCTGTCGTGGTCGAGGTAGTCGTGATGACAGTTTCCTTTCCTGTAACAAGGGTCCACTCAAATTCCAAAATCAAACTCTGAAGTCCATTTATTTGACAAAAGTGATTTTCAGTGTTGCTCATGGTCGTTTTTTGTGGTTATGCGTGGAAACATCTGTGCACAATGTACACACATCTCTTTAGTGTCTGCTTGGTTTTATGACTAATATCCTCTGCTGACTCTGTTGGTATTCAGGCGTAACCGAGTATATCTCTGGTTCGCGAGATACATGTTTTCGTTTTTGTTCTTCTTCTTTTTTTTGGTTTTGAGGTTTTGGTCATATACATTTCCTTGGCACTCTGAGGGTTTCACACAAATGTGTTTACAGTTGTACAATGAAGAACTTCTATATCTAAGTTCAGACATGTAGGTCAGCTGCTTCCTAAAATTCAACAGTATAATATGCTGTCACACAATTACAAATGTGTGCACTTATGCAGTCACATTGTCTGAACACAGCATAACTGAAATCATGATCACTATACTGTTTAATGAAAGATTTGGACTTAAATAGTAAGAGTCGTGCAGGCAGGTGTAAGCAGGTTAAAATCCGCAAAAATCTGCACAAACAAAGATGAATGCACCGCTGAATTTTAAGTAATGGAAAGCTTACTTTCTCTATAAAACAAAATAAAACAGAGGTGAGATCAGCAGTTCAAATATCAAGTCTGACAGGAAAAAGCATAGAAACAAGAACCAAACAGTGTATATCCTGTCTGTTTCTACTGCTTTGAAGTAGATCAGTGGCATTTTCTCAGGAATCACAGCCCCTGACATTAAGTGGGAGGTCACCACATACAGTATCAAACTGCCCCCTACTGGTGTGGCACATCAATACACAATTTCTTTGATAAAGGAAAAAGAAAATGCGCTCATGTAAAGCAATTTAAAGGTGAAATCTGTCCTTTTTTATGAATATAGGCACCATCGTATAACAATCTAGAGTAGAAAGTTGCATAAATATGTATAAGACTTCAAAGTTTTTCAGAAGGAAAACATTTGTAGGAGTTCTATACTTTAAATGCAAAAGTTTTGCACTCATACAATCTGCTGTACCCATAATAATGCACTGTAATATTGGAACATCACGTTATTGTATAGCAAGTTTGATTAATGTGTGTCAAGTTTTTTTGTTTGTTTGTTTTTGGCAGACGGAGAGACGGAGAGACGGAGACGCAGCACAGTAAAGTGAGAGGAAGAGAGCTGAAATAGGATTCTCTGTGGTTAGCACTTGTAATATCAAGCAGCTGCATGCTGACATGGTTAGATTAACCACTCTGCCACAATACAACGGCTGCACTACAGAGCCTCTGTGTGATCTTCCAGAATGGACGGATACACAACTCCTGTAGACTATTTGTACATTTCTGAGAACTACACTGGCAATTTTTCGCTTTATGATCTCCAGGAAGAGTGTGAACAAACCCTTAATGGCTCAGAGTATTTTTTGCCTACAATTTATTTCCTGATATTTTTCACAGGATTTGTGGGCAACCTCCTTGTGATCCTAGTGGTGGGAAACAAGAAGAGAGGTGGTCGTCTCGTGGACACCTTTGTTGTCAACTTGGCCCTGGCTGACCTCGTCTTTGTCCTGACGCTGCCACTGTGGGCCATTTCTGCAATGAAGAAAAATTACTGGAACTTTGGGCAATTTAGCAACTTTCTCTGCAAGATGAGCAGCTACATGATTGCTGTGAACCGCTTCTCCAATATCTTCTTCCTTACCTGCATGAGTGTTGATCGCTACCTGGCTGTTGTGAAGCTGATGGATTCGAGGTACCTCAGGAGTAGTTTGTGCATTCGTGCCACTTGTCTTGCAGTGTGGGCAAGCTCCTTGGTGCTTGGCATCCCATCTCTGGTGTACCGGAAAGTAGAGAAAGATGGCAATTTCTGTACAGAAGATCGAAGTTCACCTTTTTTTCTTGGAATAAGCCTGGTCATGGCCTTACTCACCTTTATCTTCCCAGTGTTTATCATTATGCTCTGCTATGGCACCATCATCATGCACCTCAACAAGCACTGTGCTGCTGCGGGAAATCCTCGTGCTGAAGCGCGCCGCAAGCACTCCCTGAAGATGGTCCTCTGCATCATAGTGGCCTTTGTGGTGTCCTGGCTCCCCTACAATGTTTTTAAATCCATCACAGTTATTTTACGTCTCGCAGACGTTGAAACCAGCTGTGAAGTTAACTCACAACTTAAAAACGGGCTCATCATCTCCTGCTGCCTGGCATTCCTCAACAGCTGCGTGAATCCAGCCATTTACTTTTTCTTGGACCATCACTTCAGACGACGTGCTGAGATGATGTACAAAACCTGCTTGGGAAAGTCAAAGATGCTGCAGAGCTTCAACTCTTCAGCTTCATTCACCAACGGCTACACTTCAGAGAGCAATGGAACAACTGGTGGGAGAAGTCAAACTCAAATGGTTTAGTAGGAGGAAGATTGATATGGTGAACTCTGGAGGTGTTAAAGTAATAATGTTACTGCCACCCTTAAGATCAATTTAACATCTTGTTTGTGCATCATTATATGTTTTGTTTTTTGATTTTTATGATACTATACTTTCAAATTTGTTTTTGGCCTTTTATTGTATTTAACATATCAAGCATGCATATATTACTTGGAAAAGTATGATATGGATTTTTCTTAAATTGCAATTTTCCCATAATATCTGCTTTGTATGAAATGTATTAATGTTGTAAATATTTTGCATTAACAGACAATATCCTACAGTTGCATTAATTTAGAAATGTAAATAACATTTAACATTTGTAGCTGAACAGATCATTTGGAAAAGTGGAAAATGAAAATCAAAAAATATTCTGTGTCTTCTGTGTATCATTTTTATAACTATTATAATTATTTTCTATATTTGCATAATATGGTTGCAGTTAATAAATAAAATCTGAACAAAAATGTTGTGGGACTTAAAACTGAATCCTCTTTAATAAAGCCTCAGATTTCTGTGATGAATTGATACTATGACTAAAAATCTGCTAAAAACAGTAGTTAAATTTAGTTACAGTTACACTTAATTACAGTAGTTACAGTAGTTATGGTTAATAGCGCTAAATGACATAATTTATTATTTTGGTTTAATTTAAATATAAAATTAAACCAAAATTAAATTAAATTAAAATATAATGATCTGCAGATGTATTTCGTAACTTAATTAAAACTCAACAAAAAATTTGTCATCAACATAAAAGGCTGCACACTGAAAACTTTTATTAAAAAAACTCTCCCCAGAGTTTTATTTAATTTTCACAGTTAATTACATAACACTAAAAATAACAATAATAACTAATATAAGTCACAGCGGTACAATTTCAGTTGAGCCAGTTCACTAATGAAGAGTAGATAAATAAGAGATGTCTGTGAAGGTTCTGAGAGATGAGTTCACTGTAGAGTAAAAGTTTGTCTTGTCCTTACAGAGGAAGTGTGTGTTTTCACACATTATTTCTCACACGTTTATTAATAAAGCTGGCTTTGTTTTGGTTTGGGGTTTTTTAACCTACAATGATAACGCATATTTTGGCACAAAGAAATTACACAACTGCATTAAAATGTGAACAAACAATACTTCTCTAATTGCAGCAGAGCAGCATAGTTCTGCTAGGTGTGAAGCTTAGGGTCTTACAAGGGACCCAACGTCCTTGTCTTGTTATGTTATACTTTGTCTTTTAACTCTACCTAAACAGTTTTATCATTTTAGTACTGATATGAATCAATATCTTCTTTTTCATGGAGCCCAAATAGGTGATAATATATAAAATAAATTTTTTTTAAAACAGAAGTGATGTGGGATTCTCGCTAAAATATGAAGTATAGGGTCAGTGATCTCCATGTGAACTGCAACAGAAACCGAACAGAGATGAGAAGGTGAACATGAGAAAAAAGTGCGCTGACACATATAAGGAGGCACTGAGCTGGCAACCCGAGGTCAACCAACACAGAAAATTGCAACAGGAAGCAACAGTTTGGTTTTGTTGAGTGAGTGGGGGTTGCTTTTTCCTTTTTCTTATTTTTTTCAAATTTTCTTTTACTTATTTATGTTCATGTGTGGTGGAGAGGTCAGGTTATCTGTAACACAAATGTTTAAAAGTTGCATATTACATATTACAATCGTTTTTACATTTACATTTGCATTGTAGCCCCTCACCCACACACACACACACACACACACACACACACACACACACACACACACACACACACACACACACCCTTTTGACCCCAACTCAGACATAATGTGCCCCAAATGCAGTTTCTCAGAAGTCAAATGCATTCGCACGATGGCAAAGGGGACGTCAGGTGTGTGAAAGTTCAAATGTTCATGCTTGCCCACTTGTTTTTCAGTTGTATGAGTGATTTGAATCATGTGAAAAAACAGACTCAGTGCTGGCTGTGAGAATAGGGAAGTCACGAATTCCCCTTTCCTGCTTTTAGATATATCTTACCAGCTTTGGTTATAATGCTGGCACAAATATTTTACCTGCTGTTTCTGGCATATAAAAATCACAGCTGTTAGACAGCTGTATCTTGTGTGTGGAGCGCACATGCACACACTTGAGAAACATTAGTCTATTCTATTCAAATATATAGACACAGTGGACATGTATGTTGCCTGATATAGATAATGGTCTTTACTAAAAAATAGGTGTATATATACTGTGAGTGAATCATGTTTAGGTGGTTTGCGATCTAAAAACAGTCAAAATCCAAACCCTTTATGTTAATATGCAGTTATTTCTGTGTTTTTTGGTTTTGGGTTTTTTTTTTTTTTGTTGCACCAGTTTGCCAAAGTCATTTCAGTTAAACTTGTTTTTGCATTTATTGCACAGGTTGCTTTGATGAAATGTTTGCAGATAATCACAGACGATGTGCAAAGAGGGAACCAGAGGTGCCAAGTGCTGCAGCTCTCGGGCTCAACGAACAGCTCTGGGACACTTAGTCATAATATTTTTCTTAACTGACTAAATGTGAAATGTTTCACAAAGATGACATGTGTTCTTGAAAATATATAATGATTCATTCCCTTTTTTGTTGTCTTATTTTTAAAGATGGCATGGGTCGTGTGGGTAACAGGAGATGCTTCTCACACTTCGCCTATGAAGTCAGCATACAAATGCTAAAGCATGCTAATGATGGAAAAATGTTTTCTTCAAAGATTAAACTTTACTTGCAAATAATTTTTTCTTAAATGCAATTAATTCAGTGCAGCCCATGTTGTTGTTAATGCTAAAAGTCACGTGGACTTAACCTGTGAGGTCAACGCTAACTAAATGCTATTTTCACACAGCCAGATTTTATCTCTAACCCAAAACTAAAATACATTTCAAATACGAAATGTTATCAGATTATTTTGTCTACGCTTCAGTTAAAAGCTGTGAACATTTTGCAATGTATCACTTTTATATGACACAACTATAAAAGAAAATCATAAAATAACTTTTACAGGCAATGTCTGCTACCTGATATCTACCCCCAACTGATTTAATTCTGACACTTCTACATTCACAGCAGAAAATCTATGGAAGAAATGCAAATGTTAAAGCTCAAACTCTTCGGGTAAGGAAATGACTTAGTCGTCACTCTGCCAGTCAAGCACACGCAAATTGAAAGGTGAGACCTTGGCACTTGGTTTTTTATCAAACCTTTCTTACGTTTGAACTGCCAGTTTCTCTTTCTAGTGTTGGCGTGACTATGAACTTGCAGTGTTCTCATAGCATTATTGCAGTTCTTTCCCCTGCACTTGTTACAAAACCCCTATGGGCTAAAACAGTCGTGCCCTATGCCGTGTGAACGTTTCTGTTCGTTTTTAAAATTAAAAGTAAGTTTATTCTTGAGCCGTTAAGTCATTTTAAGAAAAGAAAATATAATAATAAAACAGTGGTGTTGTATTTTAATGCTGACATCAAAGCTAACTAGAACCATTGTGGCTGTTGGTCCGTGAGTGTAATCTTCAAAATATTTTTGGTTAATGTTTCAGTCTTCACAAAAAGGCCATTTATGTAACTTCTGCAAGTATCAGATTGATTGATTACTCAACACAACTTTCTACTTATTCTTTCAATTATGCTGGATTTACACTTAATATTAGTTTTTATTTTTACTTTATTTTTCCTGTAGTTGTCCCTTGTTTTGGCTTGGATCATAGTTTCTTTAAAGAGTTTTAATGAAAGAGGTTTCAAGGCAAAAACGGCAAATAAATGCATTTCATTCAAATATTAATGTTACTAATTGCAAAAACAAATATAAAATGAGTATGAACGTAAGTACATGCACAGTAGTGTCAAAGTAGCCATCACTTTTTTTTCTTTCTTTTTTTGTTTTTGCCCCACTTCAAGCAGTACTGCAAAATAACGGTGAGCAGCTAAAAAATGTTTACACCCCCTTTCGACCACAAACACATACAACATTTGCAATGAGATCATGCCAGCATTGTAAGCCTCAGATGAGACGACTGGCTGTGGTTTTTATAATCTCATAAACGAAGCCTGCATGAGCAACATTTGATAAACAAGGCGTCTCAAATAAACACTGAAAGATTTAAAATCATGCACCTGCACAGATATGCCTTTGAGACTTTCCTGTAAGGAACCCTGATTAAGATTTAGCAACTTTCTTTCCTTTGCTAACAGGAATAGATCATTTGGCTTATACTGAAAGTTTTCATAATAATTCTACATGAACTGTGTTTCTGAATAATGTGTATGCTATGTTTTTAAAGATAGCTGCTGTTAGAATAAAAAAAGAAAAGAAAAACAAAGGGTAGATGTTTCAGATTTTTTCTGTCTACCTGAAAAATGAAACAACACCTCAACTGATGTGGTTACATGTTGTTGATTACAAGAAGCAAGGAAGTGCTGAGGAAAAAAGAAAAAAAAGACAGACAGACGTTGTTTACTATTAAAAACTGGCTATATCCTCTTTCAATAACACATCCAGATGAAAACATCATCTGCTTTACACTGACTTACAACTCAGGATTTTATTATGATTATGTCACTCAGTGTTCAGGGCACATAATGGCTTGATGTTTGGGATTAAAAACCACCTGCAAAATCTGAACAAAAACTTTAAAAAAAACTATAAAAAATCGACTGGTTACATCAGTTAATATTCAGAATTATGTTATTTAGCAGCGCAGTGGTTAGCACTGTCACCACGAAGCAAGAAGGTCCTGGTTTTGAAACCACTCACTTGTGTAGTTTGCATGTTCTTCCCACGCCTGAGTGGGTGCTCTGTTGAAACTCCAGCTTCTTCACAATACAAAGACACACACGTTAGTTTACCTGATGATTCTAAACTGGCTACAAGTGTGAGTGTTTCTGTGCGATGACCCGACAATAGACTGATGGCCTGTCCAGCATGTACTGCCTCTTGATCTGTGACACTGATGACCCTGAATTTAAAATGTAGTGGATA